TAAGCCTAATAAAATAAATAATTGAATGAGGTACATAATCCAGCATTCCAAAAGTATTATTGTTCAAAATTTCCTCCTCCCAATTCACACACTTTTTAAAAGTAATATCCTAACATTTGGGATTGTACAACCAAGCAAAACAAAACCAAAAAAATGCAGAAACGACTGGTAAAATCTCAACTGTGCAAGTACTTAGAATTCCATTTGTTAGAGGACATTGTTTTAGTCCAGCAGAATAAACTGAAAATCAAAATGCACCAATGTATTAACTTTTTTAGCTCGAGGTTTTAGCAACCTGGAGGGGATGGGACGATAGAGTCAAAGTATTCCTATTAATAGAAAGTGAATCCATATTACAGGAAAAACGAAACAAGACAAAAGCCTGAAATATCATACCTAAGAAGCAAGAAATTGAAATAACATTTGCAGAAATTGCTGGTTGGAAAAACCAAGGCCCAAGTCACTCACACAAAGCCATAAAGACAAGCTCCCACATCCCACTAGCTTCAAAAACCACTGAACAACCTAACATTAGCCTCACCATAAGCAAGCAATTACTCTTTCCTAGCTGATGACAATCTGACAGACAAGTACACACACTCCATGCAGCCGCAGAACAGAGTCTGCATCTCTGGTTAATAAAGGTAGATGCACATCACCTGAAGTCAGCATCATAATGCTGCTATCGGCCTCGGGAGGCAACACATCCACCAAGGCATTACTGTGTTTGTGTAGGGCCACAGAAGCATTGGGCTTCAGCAGTTCACGGTCAATGGTGCTCAAGATTCGGACGTAGTAGTTGGAGCCTGTATTGGAGACATTCACAAGATTAGACTGGTTCCTAATTCTATTCCCAAGGGGTGGGTAGTGTGGAAGATCATCACTTAGTTAGGCCTATCACTGGCACAGGGCCTGTGTCCCTCCCTCCGTTATGAGCAGCAGAGGACAATCAAGTCTAGCTGCAACTTCACATTCCTAGAATGGCCATGAAGTAATGCTGCTTTGAGGCATTGTGGGATATTTAAATGGCAGCCCCTGACCATCTAACAGAGTGCAAAATGGCATTGTCAGCTGCCAGAGAGACATTTCAAGACTCATCAAAAGAGAAGGTCTGCCAGAATGTTCCTTCCCTCAACCCTCCACAAACCAAGAGCTAGCAAAAGGGATGGGCACTACACCTGTGGTAGAACCAACAATGGCCGTGTTCTGATCCACCGCCTCCAGGAACTGGCCAATGACCAGTGGGATGCTCTGGATACGTTTCACCTCCTCCTGAGCATGCAGAAACTCTTTCTTTAGATTTTTCTGCTCATCCTTGATGTATTCTTCCTGGACCTCCAGGAACTCCAGCTCTTGCTGGAGTTTCTACAAAAAGACAAAGAAAAGGTCTAGTGGTGAAGGCACCAGGCTAGAAACCAGGAGACAGTGAGTTCTAGTCCCGCTTTAGGCATGAAAGCTGGCTGGGGGACTTTGGGCCAGTCCCTCTCTCTCAGCCCAACTCACCTCACAGGGTTGTTGTTGTGGGGAAAATAGGAGGAAGGAATAGTAGTATGTTCGCCACCTTGAGTTATTTATAAAAATAATAAAGATGGGATAAAAAAAATCTTTAAAAAAAAGTGCTGCTTTTGTTGCACCTGCAAAGTTCCCGCTTATAAAATGAAGCAAGAACAAGAGATAAGCAACTACATCACGATTCCAAACCAGGAGACAGTGAGTTCTAGTCCCGCTTTAGGCATGAAAGCTGGCTGGGGGACTTTGGGCCAGTCCCTCTCTCTCAGCCCAACTCACCTCACAGGGTTGTTGTTGTGGGGAAAATAGGAGGAAGGAATAGTAGTATGTTCGCCACCTTGAGTTATTTATAAAAATAATAAAGATGGGATAAAAAAAATCTTTAAAAAAAAGTGCTGCTTTTGTTGCACCTGCAAAGTTCCCGCTTATAAAATGAAGCAAGAACAAGAGATAAGCAACTACATCACGATTCCCTCCTGAATATGCATAGTATACTGAATAGTATACTGAATAGTATACTCACACTGCATTCCCACACTGTGGGAATCTTTCATATCAGATAAGCATGGGAATTGCACATTCTGAAATAACCTGACTGTATTCATTATTTTTGAAATACTGGTTATATTTATTTTTAAAATCCAGGGCAATGCATAACTAAGAATACAGCTTTATGTTTGCAATCTAAAAAACAGAGCATGACATAAAACAAAAAAAGTTGGAAGAGGAGGAACAAGAAAAATAAACTGAAGCAATAGTTAAAAGTGTACTTTCTGGCACGGAAGAGGAAAGCAAACTCTGAAGTTATTTTCTCTGATTTTCCCCTTGCCAGGATGCTCTTCTTGGCAGGGACTGAGAACATCTCAGTGGCCCATTGTCCCATACTGCTAATAGCAGCAGCTAGAGTACACCACCCATGGAAGATATCAGACATGGAGAAAGAGCTAAAGTGAGACACTTGAATAAAATTCTACAGAAATCTGAAGATCTACCTCTATTATTTTATTTATTTATGAGAACTAGTCTGGTATAGTTTATCCACCACACTGTACTAGAAACCAGTAGGCCATGAATTCTAGTCTTTCCTTATGCACGCAGGTCACCTGGGTGACTTGGGCCCAGTCACTCTCAATCCAACCCACTTTACTGGGATGCTGTTGTGGGGAAAAAAGACAGCAGGAGCATTATGTACACTGCCTTTATTGTGCAAAATAAATGCAGGATATAAAGCTAACAAATAATTTACTCTCTTCAACCCCTTGTTCTATTTTTCCAATGCCTTTTGAACATTTTATTTAAAAGACACAGTTGCAGAATGACAAATATAAAATACAGATTAGGAACAATAACTCCCTTCAACACTGCTAAGCCACAGTGCTATGCACTTGAAGATCAACTCACCTTGTATCGGCTATATAGATCCTCCACATCTTCAGCTTCAGGAACTAGGAAGGAGAGGCCAGTCTGAGGTCTGGAAATAGAGAGAGCAGGAAGCTCATCCTAGAAATTAAAACACAGAAGATTAGATATAAATAACCTGGATACATAATATCCCCATTTTCTAGGTTCACACAGTATGATGAATCATAAACTAACCAAAGTCCTGGATTTGCACAACATGCTAAGGTCAAAAAAAACCCCCCAAACAAGAAAACAAAGTTAAAGCAAAACAAGTTTAATGTGTACAAGTAAATATATTTGGTCTTTACTTGATTTACTGAAGTTGTTACATACACAAAGAATAGAATGTGTAGCTGTCCACAAGCTCATTTAAATTGCTATGGCTGTTTCTGTTAACCATGTCAGAATCAACATATAGTACAAAGCCTGGTTTTCTAAGCATGCAACTTTTACTTATCAGTTTTGAGGAAAACAGTAGCTACATTTTTTTGCATAAAAAGCAGAAAGGCAATCATTTTCACTATACTGAATTACTGTTTGTCTTGAAGGACAGCATGCCATGTTACAAATACATAACATACTTTATTTCTCTCTTTAATTTAGGCCACAAACTACATAGGCTTCAGACCTATGTTCATTTTACTGATTAAGCCTTCTTTCAAAATTTTGCATAAATAAATGAACATGTAATCAGCTTCAGCCTTGTGAAATTGTGTCAAACATCAGGATACATGCCAGGAGAACTGAGAGGGACACTGGCAACACAACCAAACTAAATCTACCTGAAGCAACTTCCTTGGAATTCAATGGGTCTTTAAACCCTGAAGCCTAATTGGACAAAAGCGCCAACAGATAAAAGTATTTAGCATTTTTATTATTTTATACCTAAGTGTAGTGCAACCCTTGTTTATCACTAAATAGATAGGATTCAAACTTCAAAAAGCCAACGGGTATGAGCTTCAGTGAAAAAGAGAAAGGTTGCCAAGGAGAAGATGGTGAAAAATTAAACATAATGGTTGGTGCTGGCTTAGAAACCAGGAGACTGTAAGTTTTTGGCCTTCTTTAGGCATGAAAGCCGGCTGGGGGACTTTGGGCGGGTCCCTCTCTCTCAGTCCAGCCCACCTCACAGAGTTGTTGTGGGGAAAATAAGAGTATTAGGAGGAGTATTAGGCATGCTTGCCGCCTTGAGTTATATATAAAAAAGGCGTGAGGATGAGGATGATAACAACGTCCATATTTATATGAACACCCATCAAAGCGTACAAAAGAGAATTACACAATCAAAATACAAGTTATATACAATCAGCTCGCAGCTCCATAAATCAGAACACGCCTTATGCGGCTGGAGGAGGAGGGAAGCCGCTGGGAGTCGAGGCCTGCTCTCACACCCCCTCCCAGGCCTACCGACAAGCGGTGACTCGGCATCTCCACCTCCCTCGCCTTCGTCCTCCGGGCCCCTAGTGCTCGGCCGCCTCCTTCCCAAGCCTCAGAAGCGGGAGGAAGAGGCAAAGCCACCGGCCACGCCCCCGCTCTCCCCGCGGCTCAGCCTTCCTCCCCGCAGCTCGCTCTCCCCTTCCCGTACCTGCGTTTTCTCCACCAAGATGCCGATCTCCTCCATTTTTACCGCTCCACCGGAAGCCAGGCTCGACTATGCCGCTTCCGGCCACGCTCCCCGGCACGGACAGAGAGGCTCACGGGAGTTGTAGTCCTTTGGGGAAGCCGTCCCTTGCCTACGTCTCTTTGATTGACAAGTGTGCTTCACCTCTCCCGTCGTAGCTCCCGCCCGATCAGAATAGGTAGCCGGGAGGGCAGGACGCCACAGACAGAGCCCTTCCTCTTCTTCTTCCTCCAGTATGATTGACAGGTGAAAAAAGCAATTATTTTCTCCCAGTCGAGCTCTCCCGGCTTCCCTATTGGTTCCCGCGGGCGGGTCCTGGGCCGAAGCGCCTCCTTCTCTTCTCTTGGTTCTTTAACAGCAGGTAGGAGGTCTGGGGTGCCCCAAAGCAGGTAGGGAAGGGTGTCCCCCCCCGGATGAGAGGCCGTAGGAGGCCATTCTTACCTCAGAGAAGAGCGCGGCGAAAGCGAGGGCGGCGGCGGGCCTTCGGGTCGCGGGTTGGAAGGGGATGGAGGGACCGCTTGGCCTTAACCGGGCCGGTGCGGCTCTGCCCTTTCTTCAAGAGCATCTCGGCTGCCCTGCCGACGGGCCGTATATCGCGCCCGGGGACACTGTAAGCGGGGGGGGCCTGTGGCGGGGCGGGGGGCCTTTGGGGTGTGGGGAAAGAAAAGGGGCGGGGGGGGCAAAAACGCGGCCTCCCGGGGCCTTTTTCGTAGTAGCCACGGGGATG